AGTTCTAGTGAATGTGATCATGTCGATCTTAAACTAACAACTAAGATATATAAACTTAAACTTACTTTTCGGCACTCGGAGTTCAAAGTTGTAAACTATTTTTTCTCAAAAATGGCAGTAGATATTTTTATCATTATCACATATGGTAAGTGCATGTGAATGGACGGCGATTTAGTATATCGACTTGTTTATTTAAGCTTATAATATGCAGTTAGTTATCTTGTTTTCAGTGCTAATTATTCAAAGGCAAAATTTGTCAATATATAAATAATCTTTAACCAACAACGATACACATATTCAAGTTCTAAACTCATATATACATAATTGTTTATGCTTGATTTGACTCTATAATTTATTTTTTAACTCTGTAATAATTAAATAATAATTAAAATGGCTACTAGGTGATTTTCCCGTGCTCATACACGGGTATGAATATTCATAAAAGTAAAATTTTATAATAATTGATTGATATTTAGTTTTAGTTTTGAATAAATTTATATGTATAATTTATATTAATAAGTATTATCTTATTCTAACTATACATATGACTATGAATATATTATTGTCGGTTTATTATTTTTTGGATCAATAGTCGGTATGGTTATCAATTTGGTATATTGGATAATATTTATTTTTAGAATTCAGCTACAATATTTTTATTCTAAATATAATAAAACTTTGATTAATTTTCTTATTTTCATTTCGCTTGGTTATTGTCTTAGATATGTAAATATATTATAGTTAAATTATGTATACCTTAATATATATTGTGCTTACAATGAAATAAATAATAAACTGAAGTGTTTGATTCAAAATTACATAAATGAATATAATGATAATATTTTGAAGTCTCATGCATATATATAAATTCTACAAAAAAATAAATTGTAACTGGTAATTTTTGAATATTCATGAACATATAAATTTTTATTATTTTGAATATATATTTTATGTTATTTAAAAATATATATTAATGGAGGTATTGCTATTTTGTGAACTTTCCTTTTTAATAAAGTCATATTATATACATATATTTTCGTTTTAAATTTTTTTTTACAATTTTAGAAATATTTCTTTTTTATTATATATTTTTTTTTGGAAAAAGGTAAAAAGGAAACTAAATAAAAAAATTAATAATAATCTTAAAATCTAACAATTCATTAAGGGTATCTATGTAATCAACCATCGCGAGAATTAACGTGAGCGCGACACATAGGAAACTGACTTCTCAAATAATATTATAGAGATTACTATTTTGTGAATTTTCTTTTTTAATGAAATCATATCCTATAAACATATATTTTCGTTTTTAAATTTAATATTTTTTTATTTTTTATTATAAAAGTTATTTGGAATGTTTTAAAAAGGAAACTAAACATAAAATTAATAATATTATTTAAATATACTATTTAAATATATTCATTAAGGGTATCATTGTAATCAACCAGTGTAAGAATCAACGTGAGAGCGCCATATAAGAAACTGACTTCTCAAATAATATATAGAGATATATGACACAATAGACGCATAAAAACTACAATGATTTATTCTTATCAAATGATCTTACAAAACGAATTTGGACAAAGGTTATTGTTAAAACATACAACTCACAATCTTAATATGGATCCCACTAGAATCGTTGTCTTTTGCCGGTTACGCTAACATATTCATTTGGTGTTCTTTTCTATACATTTTTAACAATATCATGTGTGATAGTTCTACTCTAAAAAATTCTATACAAAACATGAGCATTTTAGTATTAAATATATGTATTATACGCTCTGATTAAATACAGTAGAAAGTTTTTGTTCAATAAATCCAGTAAAAACATGTAAAAAGGAAAAATAAAAGCTACGGCAAGGAGTTCATTCACCGGCCAAAAGTTCAGAGAAAGGTCGATGGGACCCACTTAGGGATCATTAGTTCCGCCGCTTGATTAGTGACCGTCAGCCGACCCACCACCGTCCTACGTGGACATCTCTTCATCCCTCATTCTCTTTTACCTCTTATCTATTGACACTTACAAAGTAGTGAACTACCTTGTAGTTACTTTTACAGTAGCCGTCGACACAAGAAGACAAAATAAAATTATCACCTTAATCTCCCCTTTTTGTAAAACAAAAGAAACGTACCACCTTAAACCTAAAGCCACTTAATTGATTTTTGGGAAACTAATCAAAACTATGGTAAATCAAATCATAATTACCACTACCGTCTGTAATTTCAGATCATAATCAGTTCATGTATAACCGAAAACAAGTAGAAATATACTAATATCCTTGGAGAATAAAGATTTATGTGATTTAATTTTCATTTTCAAGAATGTATGAAACTTAATTACTTAGAAAATTCATATTTTCCTCCTCTTTTTACTCATGAGCTCTTATTAACCGATCATTTATCAATTTTCTAACACCAATAGAGCAAGATATTAACAAAATATATATTTTGTTGATTAATATGATGGAGAATAATCAATGAGTCAACGTCAAAACAACGGCAATAAGTGCACATTTGAAGCTCAACAAGTTATGCCCAAACACGTTTAATGAAATTGTATATGATGACATAGGTCCAAAGCATTCAGGGACCAGACTGTTACACTTTGTTAATTGTTATATGTTTATGTATGCTTTTTGGTGGCATGTCATTTGCGAGCTCTTCACTAATTCATGTTTAATCTTGAATATGTCTATGGATATAGAAGACATTCTACCAAAAGCATAAAGTTACACCATAAGCTACACTAAATTGTAAATATGAATTCTAGTTCAACATACTCTTCTGTTAAGAAAGTAGATTGGTCAGTATTGATTAACAAAAAAAACTATAACCGTTTCAGATCAGAAGAACATATGATATGCGGATATATAGCAAATTTGAGATTATGATATTTTCTTGATTTCCTCAGGAATATAATTATATACACACAAATCTTTCTTATGTTAGAATGACGCTCTCAGATGTATATCAATTCCTTTTTTTTTGTAAACTATATATCAAATCATTATTGGTACCAAGATAAGATTATAAATTTATTTTTGTTTCGTCTAATATGTATATATATTGGTACTAGCTTTATTTATCTTCTACGTAAAGACAATAGCTGCCAACAAATAACCGCCGCGTGATGGTTTCTGTTCGATTACATTCCCTTCTCGTTGGTTCTTGTCGTTAAATCATTGGAGCTGAGAAGACCGTCACTAGAGAAGTCTTTAAAAAACGAATCCACCCTTTACAAAAGCTCACAACCATGTGAAGCGCGAGGTTTGTTTAATCTCTCCCACGTGGCAAAGGGACATTCTCTGTTGTGCCAGCATGGCAAGTTCCAGAATGTCAGAATGTTTGCAACATTTAAACTCGTGTTCTCATTGGTCTGACGGATAAATAATAATGTATATATATATTGGTTTTATAGAAATAATACAATTTACAGAGCCGTTCGCAACTCGCTTTGAAAGAAAAAGATCAGTTATGCCCTAAGCTAAAATAATGTCAGAATTAGGTGAAATTTTCATAGGTAGATGAATTATACATTAACCTCAACTCAAAGTTGCATTTTCTAGTTTTATTTTTTTTGCTTTATCATGACATTATATATATATATATATATATTTATTTATTTATTTATAAATGATTAAAAACTACATCCAGTAAATAATATGCTGATTTTGACCAATTAATTGTTTCAAAATGGTATACAACTGAATAACTTATTAATTGTATGTGTATGTGTGTAAACACAAAAAAAATTATGCAAAAATCTTTTTTTTTTTTTTTTGATAAAGGGCTTAATTATGCAAAAATCTTGCAACGTATTTTTTTTAGCTTTCTTGAAAATGCATATGTTACTCCATATTTAATAATGCATCAATCAAAACATCAGAAGTAATAATTTTGATATCTTTAGGTCGCATATGTATATCTTTAAAATTAAAGAAATAAATGTTAAAGGGTTTAAAAAGAATAATACGAAGAAGAATGTTAAAAGAAGAGGGAGGAGGGTAGGGGTGGGCACGGATCGGATATCCGGGTTTTTTAAGGTATTTGTGATTTGCTTCGAATGTTACGGATATCTAATTTTGGTATTTGCTTTGCTTCGAAAAAATACGGATATCCGGAAAAACGGATATCCGGAAAATAAATAGATATTTGCGGATATTTACGAATATTTACGGATATCTCATCCATTTTGATTAATACANACGGATCGGATATCCGGGTTTTTTAAGGTATTTGTGATTTGCTTCGAATGTTACGGATATCTAATTTTGGTATTTGCTTTGCTTCGAAAAAATACGGATATCCGGAAAAACGGATATCCGGAAAATAAATAGATATTTGCGGATATTTACGAATATTTACGGATATCTCATCCATTTTGATTAATACAAATAATCTTAAAATTTTGATACAAATTTGCTTTGCAAAATTATTTTTTTTGCATGATATATAAAATAAAACTTAAAAGAACTAGTGAATTTATATATTTTGTAATTTTTTAAGCTTAAGTTACAATTATAATAACACAAAATTTAAGAAAAATATAATTGTCATAATTTTCTTTCTTTATTTTTATGTAATACTTTATATAAGTAATAATTTGAATAGAATTGTTCAAAATCATATGCTAGAATAATAATTATATAATTTTATACATTTAAAATGTTAAATATATGCAAGATATACATATATTTATATATTTACGGATCGGATCGGATATCTGCTTCCCAAAATTTTACTATTTGTGATTTGCTTCGATTTTAACGGATATTGAATTTTAGTATTTGCTTTGATTCGAAAGTTTACGGATATTCGGAATTTTCGGATCGAATCGAAACGAATAACGAATCGAATCAAATATAACGAATAAAATGCCCAGCCCTAGAGGAGGGTGATCTACGCAAATGGGGACATGGAGAATGCCACGCGCAATTGAGAGGTCCACACTCTCAACACCTTTTATTATATATCACCAAATCATCAATCTCTCACTCCCATTCTCTCTTCATATTCCCCAAAACTTATAACCAAACCAATATCATCTCTCTCTCGATGATCATCATCTTCTACGCATCCATATCAGTCTGATCTCCTTATTCTTCCTCTGATATTCCTGGTTTTCTATGCTAACAAACGACTAACTAATATTTGATACACATATATAGATATATGTGTATAACTATTTCACAGATCAAAGAAAAGGTAACACTTATTTACCCATTTCTAGATCAAAAGAGTATATTTCCGTCGTCTCAACTTGAGCATATGTTCGTGTTTATGCTGCTTCGTTCGTTAAAACATTGATCTCTCTGCACCCCTTTTCTATATATTCTTTAGTTCTTTACTCAGACTTGATTCGTGTTGTTATGTTATAAATGTGGAAAAAGCTGTTTTTGTTTGTATTACACAAGGCTAAATATAATATATGTAGTTGGATAGGTTGCGTTGTTTTAGTTTAATATTCGACCAGTATATAATTACATATGACATAATGATCAGAAAGAGAAGAAAAACAAAATATTTTCTTCGATACATATAATATGATCAATACCACAATTTATTCACAAACCACGTAGCTAATACGTCTGTCCGTTCTCTTTCAACCTCACATAAGCTCTCATGCATGTCATCTTTATGCTATCTTCAACTTTTAAACTTAGCTTTCATATTTATGTGCCTTCTTCTGATCACTTTTTAAGATTAGTAAAAATAATAACTACGTAACTTTTTTGAGTACTTGTAATTTTTTTTCATCTATGGAAAATGGTAATGAAAGTTGAAACTAAACATTAAGCGAAATGATTATACCTTTTTACAAGATCAATTTATTTTCTTTCATGCTTCAATTCTTGCATTTTTCTAATTCTCTTTGAACATATATAAACACCAACTCTTTGTTATGTGATAGCAACATCACTTGCTTGCATATATGATAATATATTGATGATCATTTTTGGTGCTGAACCATGTTATTCAGAAATAATGGAACCAGTGGATCAGTCATGTAGTGTTCCTCCGGGATTCAGGTTCCATCCAACAGATGAAGAGCTCGTTGGTTACTATTTGAGGAAGAAAGTGGCATCACAAAAGATCGATCTTGATGTCATTAGAGATATTGATCTCTACAGAATCGAACCATGGGATTTACAAGGTTTCACATTATAGATACTTGATTCAGGGTTTATTTTCTTATTGTCACAATGGACATGCCTTGATCTGATGAACATTTGTTGTTATATATGATAGAAAGATGCCGAATCGGGTATGAGGAACGAAATGAATGGTATTTCTTCAGCCACAAAGATAAGAAATATCCAACAGGAACAAGAACAAACAGAGCGACCATGGCTGGTTTTTGGAAGGCCACAGGTCGAGACAAAGCTGTCTATGACAAGTCAAAACTGATGGGGATGAGGAAAACACTTGTATTCTACAAAGGAAGAGCCCCTAATGGCCAAAAAACTGATTGGATCATGCATGAATACCGGCTAGAATCAGATGAGAATGCGCCTCCTCAGGTATTCTATATTTTTACTTGATGATATTTTCGAAATAGATAGGATTATTGTGTTATACTTACAACATATACAATTTAGCGTTTCCGGATTATTAGGGGAAATTACATGGAATTTGTTTGTTTTTTCATGGGGATTGTAGACCAATTTTGAGGTCTCATAAGCTCTTTAGACCTTTTAGGTAAAAGTCGAGCATCTTTAATTAAGACATGTTTAATGTTGCACCTTTTTATCACAGTAAGAAAAAGTAAAAGGACTGTACTAAAACTTCAGTTCCATATATGTTGACCAAAGATCCTTCCTATATATCTATCTTTTTGTGAATAATACTTTATTTATAAGTGCTTAAAATCTTAAAAGCATTTTTATGCTTAAGAGACTATCTTGAAATTATTAACACTATAATATTAATAGTTAAGTTATATTGTTGAAATTTGACCCAACAAAAAAAGTTAAATTGTTGAATTTTACTATTTTTAAAAAGGTTACACTAATAAAAGCATATGTGTCTCTATATATCATTAATTTAGTATAGCTTGCAAATGAGTATGTTACCTATATATGCTAATGGTAGCTTTCTTCCTTGTGTTCTCAAACTTTAAACGCATGCATTTTATTGTGTCTCACTACACATATAAGGATGTTTATTAGTATTATTTTTGTTAGGTATTGTCCTAAAGGTTATGCTTATTTACACCAATATGATAAGTTAACCATTCCTTATGATGATTATGTACGTATTGTAGGAAGAAGGGTGGGTGGTTTGTAGAGCTTTCAAGAAAAAACCAACGACCGGGCAAACCAAGAACACAGAAACTTGGAGATCAGGTTACTATTACGACCAATTACCTAGCGGATTTGGCTCGGGTATGGAGCCACTCAATTACGTATCTAAGCAAAAACAAAACACTTTTGCACAAGATTTTATGTTCAAGCAAGAACTAGAAGGGTCGGATATCGGTTTAAACTTCATCGACTGTGATCAATTCATTCAACTTCCGCAGCTAGAAAGCCCTTCACTGCCTCTTCTGAAGAATCATAATAAATACAAAAGACCACTAACAGAAGATGGTGAGAATTTCGACGAGCTGATAAGTAGCAAAAGTAAAGATAAGAAGAAGAAGAAGAAGAAAGCATCAGTGATGACAACGGATTGGAGAGCCTTAGATAAATTTGTTGCTTCTCAGCTTATGAGCCAAGAAGATGGAATTTCAGATTTTGGAGTTCATCAAGAAGACAACAACAATAAAACTGGTCATTGCAATAACAATGGTGTAGAGATGCCTTCATCGTCGTTATTGCGTGATAGAGAAGAAGAGAACAGGTTCATCAGTGGGTTCTTGTGTACGAATTTGGACTATGACTTAATATAGGGATTTGCATGTTTGATAAAAGATAATGATATATAGTAATAGTACGGTGCGTGACGTTTTCTATGGAATAAATTGATATAATATAACATATAGAAATTGTAAGAGATTTATTTTTCTTTTTCTTATTACATGGATATTATATATACTTTTGTGAAAAAATAACTGGCTGTGAAAGAGTAATTATAGTGATTTTGTGTGGTGATTCTTAGGGTTTTGATCTACATGTGTATGATTTGACTATCAAGCTAAAAGAACACCGCAGGAATTTTTAGTGTAGTTTCCGAATGGGCTACGGAATTGGTTTAAGTTAATGTAATTTATTTTCTGGTATTATAAACATTATATTACATTAATTAAGATAGACATGTTTTGTTAATTTTGGTATGGATTCGGCGTCTCGCTTATAAATATTGGTTCTTCGTCTCTTCTCTTCACTATTCTCAGAGTAGGGTTCAGTTTATTTCTTGATATGGCCCTTTTTATTGGCTTGTTGATCACAACTTTGTATTCAGTTCATTTTTAAAGGAAAACTTAACCAAAAAATATTCTAGATCATTTCAAAATCACAGTGTAAATAATATATTTTTTGGGTGATTATTTTTTATCAGTAAGATATTAATGTAAGTATATTGATATGTAATTATTTAGATTTAGATATACTCGTAGATGCAATCTTGAAGATTTTCTTTATGTAAATCCTTGATTAATCAAATCTGGAGGTTTACAAAACTATTTACAAGTGTACAAAGAGAATAATCTCATATCTAACAGTATGTAAGTTTTAAGTAATTAGATAGATACAAGTTGAGAAAATACGTTTGCAGATCAATATACTAACATCAAAATTCATAGAATTGGTTATGTAGAGTTAGTTAGATAGATAAAATAATTAATTAATGATAGGAGTAAAGAAATAAAAACAAAGTGTTGGCCCAAAGTGGGCTCATGAGTTTGTCGAGCGTGCGGTGTACAAGATGGGGAGTCCGTTGGGCATGCTTTGTCGTCGTTTCAAGAGCCCCTTACCCGTTTCTTCCTTTTTCCAAATTTTCAATGTGAATTTCATTTTACTTCTTATCAAAATTAAATAATCCTTATCCTAAATCATTTGTTTTTGTATAATGCCAAAGAATAACTATATACATTACCTGGCTATACGTGGAAACATTTTGATAGTTGTTGGCTTAATAATAAAGAGTAATTTATTAACCAAGTCTCATTAAGACTATGCAACTTACAATTAGAAGCCGTTCCCATTCACAAGCATGAATAAAGTAAAGTTGAAGGAACCATCAATTTGAATGGATATCGGTATCCCTGGTCTACAATAATTTTCATAATGTCTAATTTGCTTAAAACTGATATTTCCCGGATAGAGTTTAACCTAGATATATTGATACATATAGACAAATGCAACTAGTGGATAGATGTCATATAAGATTAAATTGTCTGGACATGCTATATAGTATCTTGGAAGAAGCTTCAACACATTAAATTACACTAAACAGAACTGAATAATTTCTACTAAATAAATATATATATATATATATATTATAGTTATAGATTCTTGTTAAAAAGTGATGCCAAAATCTTGGCAATGGATTATAACCAAAAAAAAGCAATGGAGATTTACTTGATGGTAGCTTTTGAAGCGGAGGGATGTGATTGAAAGAAAGACACAGCTTCTGATTTGTCCATTTCATACTTAGGGTGGGGCAAGTAAATCACTCTCATCTCTTCTATGCAATCCTTTCTTACTTTGCATTTTGCATTCTTATGTCTTCTTTTTTCCTAAAGATATGTCCATGATTTATTATAATTTTTTAGGTGGCGACAAAGACAGCTTACATTTAATAATATGTAGTATAAAATACAGTGATAGAATTTTCAAACAATACACTATGCGTCGTATGCGATGGTGAATTCAGATATACGAGAGATGAGGAACTCAATTAGTGCGGAATTGATTAGAGTTATGACAAATCAACCAATTGTACGATCCCAAGGATGAAGTTTCTTTCATGAATATGATTATGAACACTTGCGCACTTTTACTCAGACTAATGATAAATTTGCTCTTTTTGTTCCTCCCCAAAGAGTAAAATTCATTGAATTCTTCCTGTCCCTGAAATTTATGGTGTTACTTTTACATCTTCAATTAGTTTTTGATATACACAAGCCACATTTCTAATATATTTGAAATTTATACAATTTAACAATATGACACTGCTCACAAGTATCTTTAACATATTTTTGTGATGAAATCTATAATTTGTTTCTTAATAAGTACGCAATAATTTACATTCTTGGAAGCTTTTTTGATAATTACGGACGTATTTTTGCAGACGTTACGAAAATCTCATATAACTTGTTGTTTTTGAAGTTTAGTTCAAGCAAGAACTTCGATATTGACATGTTAATACGTGTGTGGTATGCTTTGAATATACCTAAACATGCGACTACAATAGGATATGATTTAGACCCACTGACCACTTCTAGTCTACTCTCTCTTTTGGGCAAAATAACAAGAAAAGTGTCTCAGTATAATGACCAGTGGGAACTTGACCAAAAAAGGGAATCGCTGATTTGCACACATTGTCGTCTTTCAATCAAATTTTCGGACAACACTAAAACAATAAAAGTAAACTGACAAATGTTAGTGTGTATGGTCAAGAGAGTAAATAACCAATGATGCCAAATGTAATGATAGAGTTTTTCTACCGTAGGAAGATTTGATCAAATATCTTAAGTATAGATAAAATTTACATGTGATGTAACCCAAAAAATTCGAGTAAGATTCCCATTTCTCAAACTCTTTCTCACCTTTTTTTATTTTCTTTTAAAAAAAAGTCGAATTCCCCAACAAAAATGATGTAAGAGCCAACTGTTGACTTTTTTTTTTGAGCAAACACATAATCATTTCATAACTAATGAAGTTTTACATTCCATTATCGGAGGAGGTTAGCAATGACAGAGCTGATTTAGCCACAGAATCAGCCACTCCATTACCTACCCGTGGTACATATGAAAAAGAGATAACATCGAACAAAACACTGAAATGGTAAATGTCAAATAAAATGCCGAACAAAGCTGGTATCGATCCACCACTCTTCAATAGCTTGATTAAGGAGAGGGAATCAGACAGGATCATCGAGCAAACTGTTGACTGTGTTTAGTATTTTACTACTCCCTTGGTTTCTTAAACTATCACTTTGAAATATTTCATGTGAATTAAACAAAATAATTAAATATAACTAGTATAACTTTATTTAATATATAATAACTTAAAAAGAATAATTTACATAAATATTTAGTGGTTGTTTGAAAGAGTTAAAAATATATAAAAAGCTAATAATCTTTTTGAAACAAAAGTAGTACATTGCATATATCTGTAAAAGGTATCTGTAGATTGTAGACCGATTCATGTTTTGCCCAAAAAAATATCGTTGCATATATCTAACCCGTGGCAAGAGAAGCCCGTCATAAATTACAAAAAATCTGTACCTAAATCAATAAATGAATAGGCCAACAACAAACCAAATATTAACCAAGGAAATAGAAAAGATTCTAAAAGCCCATTATGAAACAACATCTGCATAGAAAAGAAGAGAAAGTGATGAGTTAAGCATTGAGATTTAACTGTCTTGAGCAAAAGACGATTTAAAAAGAAGACATTTAACTATAAAATGCATAATAATGCGGAGTTTAAACTTTGAAGACATAGATTCTACTTGATAGATAAACGTCTGAAATAACATTGTAGCAAATCTTAAGGCATCAAAACAAGGTCTCAACAAAAACCCAAAAACAAAAGTGAAATTTTCCATCATCTTGAAGCTCTCTCTCCTTATTCTTGCTTGGAAGCAAGAGCAGCAGCTTGACCTCTGAGACGACCAGTTCTCCTTGCAGCAATAAGACCAACCTTTTGCCCAGGGGGTGCATCACGACGAACAGTACTGGCGTGACCAATATGTTGATGGTTACCTCCTCCGTGAGGATGCTCAACAGGGTTCATAGCCACACCACGAACCTTAGGCCAGCAGTTTCTCTTCACACGGTACTTGTGGTAAGCGTTACCTGCCTTGAGCATTGGCTTCTCTGTCCTTCCACCTCCAGCAACTTGCCCAATCATGGCCCTGCATCCACTTGGGACAACCTTCTTGGAGCCAGATGGCAACTTAACCCTGTCAAAAGACCAATGTGTGAGTTTTAACTGTTAAGAAAAAAAACAAGTAAATTCTTGTAATGAAGAAATCAACCAAATGATGCAGCAACCATTTCTTTAAATCATTTCTAATCAAATCAAACACAATTATCATTAATAATAGGATTCATTACAAGAAAAAAGTATAGCATTTTAATCATACAAACCCTAAAGACATAACCTTGGGCACCTACAAACCCTAAAGACAAAACCTTTCAATCATACAAACCCTAAAGACATAACCTTTTAATCATACAAACCCTAAAGACATAACCTTTCAATAACACAAACTAAAAAGACACAAACCTTTCAATCATACAAACCATTAAGACAGAACCTTTCAACCATACAAACCATGAAGACATAACCTTTCAATCAGAGACACATAAAGACAGACATAACCTTTCAATCCCACAAACTAAAAAGACACAACCTTTCAATCCAACAAACTAAAAAGACACAACCTTTCAATCCCACAAATCTTAAAAACAGAACTTTTCAACCATACAAATTATTAAGACATAACCTTTCAATCAGACACACTATTAAGACATAACCTTTCAATCACACACGAAAACAAAAACACAACCTTTCAATAACACAAACCCTAAAGACACAACCTTTCAATCAAACCAACCAAAAAGACACAACCCTTAAATAACCCAAAACCGAACCTGGTCGTGTCGTTATCCGGGTTGTGAGCAATCACAATAGCGTAATCACCAGAAGCTCTAGCAAACACACCACGATCACCAACATGATGCTCAACGTTACAGACAACAGCTCCTTCAGGGATAGATCTGAGAGGCAGCACATTTCCGACAACGAGAGTCGCCTTCTTACCACAGTACAAGAACTGTCCCGTGTACATACCTTCAGCAGCGACAAAGAGCTCCTTCTGCTTCTTGTAACGGAAAGGATGACGGAAGGCAACGCGAGCTAACGGAGCACCACGTCCTGGGTCGT